TACCCGGTGCATCCGCCAGCCGCGCGTTAAAGCAGAGCGGGATCAGTCTCCGGCACAGCGCTGCGCTTCCGCCACGATTTAGAAGAGATAAACAGCGCAAATCGCTCGATCCATTCAGAAATGACACAGAATTGTGTTATACAGTTGTGTGATATGACAACATTAAAGGTTCTGCCTGAAAACAGCCACGACAAGGTAAAATGCATGTAAACAAACTGCAATGTAAACAAACTTTAATAGCTTATTTCTCTTTAAATGTTTCATTCTAATTCATTTTAATTTAAGTAAAATGTTAATTCAGTAAGAGCCTGATTAAAGATAAAAATCAGTGTCTCTGTAATTTAGAGACGCTTATAAATGAGGTGTTTTCCATTTACAAGTATTATAAAGTTCTTAAAGGGATAGTTCACCCAAAAATTAAAGCTGTCTTCATTTAGGCTACTCAGCATCATGTCATTCCAAACCTGTATTAATTTCTTTCTTCTGTGGAACATAAAAGAAGATATTTTGAGAAATTCAAGAAATGCCTTTTTATTGAAGCAATAACGAAAAATTTAAAAATGCCTGAAGACTCGCACTGTGTCCACACCAGATGCGACAAAATACTATAGAACCCATTATAATCGGTGATGCGGCCTACACTGGATGTGGCACAGCACAGCACGACAAATCCCCGACAGTAAACTGATGCCTCGTTCTATTTATGACGTAGGCCTACTGTTTGACAAAGTACAAATGATAAATGATTTGCAATGGTCACTTTGTGACATCCAGTGTGGACAGCCTCAAGCTGTTGGCTTACCTCCGGCCTTTTTTTCATTATTTATTTGTTTAATTTTTTTGGCTAGTAGAAATTATGAATGGCCGGTAACTTAAAAATTTAGTAGCCAAATTGGCTGGTGAGTGAAAAAGTTAATTTCAAACCCTAAAATCTCATCATATTAGGATCTCACATAGCCTACTACTACACTTGCTTTATATTTAACTATTAACGTTCATTTAAGACACAAATGACTGTGTTGACGAGAAGACATTTTGACACATAACTGTGCATTTGAACTTTTAAGCACAAGGCGCGAAAAATAACAAGTTTAGACTGGCGCTGTGAGCAGGTGTGCGCCACGCGAGTCAGGCTGAAACCGCAACGCGCGCATTTGCCAAAATGAATTCTGCCCCACTGCTTAATGTCCCTGAAAAGTTACATTTGTTTTTAAACCACAAGGCTTAAAATGCGTTTAAATGAAAAGCTTAACCTACACCATGCCGCGCAAAACGAGTGATAGGCTATATTTCTACCGGTTTATCTCTCAACCCATAAGCGAATATACTTTGTTCAAACACAAAAAGCAATATACACCCATCAAGTTGTTAACTTGTTAATCAAACTAGCCTAAAATCTGTGGGGACGATGACGCTGTGTTTTTATCTGCTCCATGTGCCCGGTCCACTTGCTGTTTCACAACTACTCCATCATCAGCTTTAGTAAAATAACTAAGGGATTTTACTGACTAACTCATGTTTTCCCCTCTCTCCTCGTTTTTTTTAGAATAGCCCCTCTCTCACTTTCTTTTAGAGTAGTTTACATTTTTGCTTATGGAAGATTGTTCTTTGCATGACCATTTCCAGATTATGTCAGAACGAAGTGAAGAGAGGTGAATGCGGACATTGCAGCGATCACCTGATTGATAAATGATGCAGGGGTCATTCAAAAGTAAAAATATAGAATAAATGCATTTGATTGGTAAACCAAATTCAAACGTTACGTTTTAATCTCTAAAGGTAATGCATGGAATATATGGAAAAGCTCCACTAAATAATAGCGCTAATATGTGAGGGGCGGGGCTTTGGCAATCGGCGCTACCGATGACCAGTCAAAATACCCCACAGCCAATCACGGGCCCCCTCCTTGTCCGGGCCCGGGGCTTCAGCCCTGCCTAGCCCAATGGTTAATGCGGCCCTGTCGGTGTGATTAGATCGTTTAGTGCGGCACAGCATCAGCTGCTATGCAAATCTGCGTTCGCGCTTTGGCTGGCACTGAGCCAGAGACAGACGCGTTTGTACAGCGCTGCATTATAACCAATCACACACGAGTCTGTTGAGCTTATGAATGCAATGGCCAATCAGAGACGTTCAGATGAGTCATCGCTGAAACGCGGTGTTTTGTTCACTTGCTCGCTGACTATGCAGATGTACGTATGAATGCAAGTAAGATATTCATTTCACAGTGTAAACAGCTTCAGTGATTTAAATGGGAGTTTTTGAGAGTGCCTGAACTCTGGCTAGACTGAAGTGAAAATGAGAAAAAAAAACGGTTAAAATACCTGAATGAATTGCTCAATATTCAAACATTAAAAAATGTAAAAATTACAAATCACTCAGTATTTTGGATTTAATAATAATAATAATAATAATTTTCTTTAAATATTATTATTATTATTATATAGAAATATTTTTTAAATACGGTTTTATCACAAAATGTCGCAATACATTACAGGAGGCTCCGACTTACAGCGATTTTACCACAGTTAAACAGCTTTATTGTTATTTTAGTATTATTTATATAGTGTTGTAGTATGTATTAATATTTAGAATTAGCCTTTATTTTTATATTTTCAGTTTTAATTTTAGTTTTAGTAATTTTATCAAAAGCAATATTTATTAATTTTGAATGGGCTTGTTTTCATATTTTCTGTTTTCATTTTAAATGTATTTTAAGATGTAGTCATTTTGTAAAAAAAAAAAAAATTATAAATTATAAATATTTTGAATTAAATTATTTTAGTAAAAAGTGATTTTAGTACTTTGTCTCAAACTTATTTTACTTCAGTTAGTTGTCAAGGCAACATTTCTAATTAGCATTTAGGTTTTATAAATTTTACGTGCTCATCTAATGGAATTTTTTTTTTTTTTTAAGTTTTATAACAATAGTGTCTTTTAGACACTTCACACTGTGCGTAAGAATACTCTTAACCATGGTAAAATGACTGCAAAGCACGGCCTCTTATTGCTTTTTGAAATGTCATATTTGGTCTGAATTTGTGCATTGTTTGTATCAGCAAAAGCCCTTTGTGTATATCAGGTGGGCTGCCTTACCTGTGTATGATTCTCAAAGATTGATCCAGGAGTTCTTCCTGGTGCTCATTCTACTGTGATGAAGGGTTGCACGTTATCCCTGATCTGACCTCCGCAGCTTGAACCCTCTCCAGGTGTTAAGCACTGTTACCACAGCAACCCAACATGCCCTACCAACCCATAAATAGGGATTTTGCACTGAAAAAAAAACACCTTTTAGTAGATGAGCCTTTGCCGTTTTCAGAAGATGCTGACTTGGATGGTTTAGTAATTATTCCAGTAATAGGACTCGCATCAGGCAAGGTAGCACATTTGAAAAGACCTGAATTTCCTGGATCGTATTTCTTCTGGGCTTGGCAGGCAGCGTTTGAGGTGTAAATAAGCCTAAACAGTGCAGAGCAATGCAGTGTTTAGCTTCAGTCCTCAGGCAGATTCATTTACTCCATCACACTTCACACACACACACAAGCTGCCCAACTCTGCGTCCTATTTAAAGGATGTAACGGGTTCAATACTAATTAAACTCTAGCAACAAGCGTTTGTGGCATAATGTAATATTTTTATTGCCACAAGCGTTTGTGGCAATAATTTACCATGAAATATTTTTTGTTTATAAAAAAACAAAAAAACAAAGCAAAAACCACATTTAAATAAGACGGTGAAAGTACACAGAGCCAGACAGTAAGCCTTAAAATAGATTTGCACACTGTATTAAAGGTATAGCCGCAAAACTTTTATACATTTATACATGCTTGCTTGTTTGGTAACCTTGTTTGTGCATATCCAATCATTTATCTTCACAAAAAGCTTGACAATAACATGTTGATACACTTCTTTTTCCTTTTCTCTTTATTCACATCAATATTTTTAGGTTATTATTTTTTATTTATTTATAATTATTATATTGTTGTTAATTTTTTTCAGCCATTTCATTGAAGTTTTTACTATTTAATAATATACTGTATATTTTTATAATAAGTTTGTTAAAAATTGTCCTGTGATGGTTATATGGAGATAATTAGATATTTCTTTAGAATTTTAAGGTTAAAATTAAATTAAGATTTTTAATAAAAAAAATTATGTATATTTATTTTAAAAGTCCTTTTGTGACAAATGAAATCCTTAACATTGCGAAGGCGAAAGTGTGGGGTTGAAAAAATACAAATAATTTATTTGAATATTCTATTAGGGTTGAAAAGGGGTGGAAAATTTCTGGTAAATTTCCGGAAACTTTCCAAAAATCCCTGGAATATTCAAAAAAATCACGGAAAGGTTCCAGAATTTCTGGAATATTTCCGAAATTTACTGGAAATTTCCACCTTTTTGCAACCCTATATTCTATGTAGTATCCCAGTTAGTGATGAGGTGATAAATGGATTATTATTAATAAAATGCTGTTTTAAATGGAGTACAGCATGTAACATTGCAACATGTCTGCTTCCTGAATGTACTATCAACTGCCCTTCAAAAAATGCAAGCTTTGGAATTTAACCTTTAAATCCTCAGGAATGCTGGTCTCATGGACGTCCATCCAAGTGTAAACATGGTTTTTGGTGAAAAAAAAAAAAAAAAGTCAAATAGATTTTCAGTGGAAATCAGCAATATAGTTTAGCTTGTATTTTGTAACCTAAACTGAATTATGTTTCTTCCTCCCGCAGTGTGCAACCCCGGCTTCTACTTGCACAACAAGGGCTGCGTGAGAGACTGTCCAGCAGGTTTCACCGCAGGCACCCGCTCCATTTTCCTCCCCAACAACGAGGTGACGTCCGTCCTCCGTCCCGCCTGCCAGTCCTGCGACCCCATCTGCCTCACCTGCAGCGGCACGAGTCCTCAGAGCTGCCTCTCCTGCCCTCCTCACAGCCACCTGGACGCTGTCAGCGGCACCTGTCTGCACCAGAACCACATCCAGCGCGAGTCTCCGGACGGCGGGCTGTTCCAGACGCAAGGAGGCGGCTCGTCCGTCAAACTGCACCCAAAGCTCGCCTCTCGCCTGCCTGCGACCGTGGCTGTGCTCAGCTGTGCCTTCATCGTGGCTATGTTTGTGGCCGTGTTCGGCTTCCTGCAGATGCACACGCGCAAGCAGAACAAACTGCTGTCCGCCGAAGCCGGGCCAGGATCCGGCTTACTGGTCGGGTTCGGTTTCAACCGCACCGCAGTGGCCTACAAGGGCATCCCGAGCGTTTGGAGGGAGGACGAGGGCAATTCCGAGTCCGAGAATGAGGAATTCGAGATCCGCAATGAGAGGATTGGCTTCATCAAAACACAAAGTGCTCTTTAACCCCTTCTTGCCCACGTTCCTCCACTCTCTAGCCTCTACTGCACTGGTGTCTCTTTTTTAGTGTGATTTTCTTCTGGGGTTCGTCTGAGCATATCTCACTTCTGGGGGTTTTGGTTTGTTTTTCGCACCTGTTGTAGTTATGTGAGCCATGATTCACCTGGGGGTTGACCTCTCTCGGTGCCTCAACATGGAAAGCTTCCAATCACAAGCGACGGGGATGAGCCGATGGTCACGGGGTTGTCCCGGATTTACAATAAACATGATTATTGTTTGGTCTCTTCCTTTTGCCTAGTGAGATTTTAAGAAACAACAAGATTGAATTATTCGCATACGAGAAAAACAAAGCTTTTCTTTGAGTGAATGAGTGTGTGTGTGTGAGTGTGTGAGTGAAACTACGTTTATATGAAGTCAGTCAGTGCTCCAGTGGGTCGGATCCACTGGCTTTGCGCAGGGAGCCTTTTAGAAGAACATATCACTATTTCTACATGATCAGATGGAGAGCAGAGCGGTGTGTTGTTAAACGTGTTTGAAGAGCTTACTGCTCCCCCTAAAGCATCTACATTGACAAAGTCATGATTATTTTATGTACAGTAGGCTGTTTAAAGGAATAGTTCTCCAAAAGATGAAACCTGACATTATTTGCTCACCCTCATGTCATTGCAAACCTGCATGATTTTCTTAGGTGGAAAAAAGTCCAAATGCCTCTAAATTTTATATATAGTGCTGTCAAATGATTAATCGCATTCAAAATGAAAGTTTGTGTTTACACAATATATGTGTAATGTGTATATTTATTATGTGTATATATATATATGTATATGTATGTGTGTGTGTGTGTGTGTATATATATATATGTGTATATATATATATATATACATACATATATATATATATATATGTGTGTGTGTGTGTATATACATACATATATATATATATATATATATATATATATATATATATATATATATATATATATATATATATATATATATATATATATATATATATATATATATATATATATATATATATATATATATATATATATATATATATATATATATATACACATACACACACACATATATATATTATGTAAACACAAACTTTTATTTTGGATGTGATTAATTGTTTGACAGCCCAAATATAAATATATACACTAAACATACATATAAAACATAAACATAGTTAATCAAAATGTCAAAATCATGGCATCAAACCTAGTATGATTCATTATTTTGTAATTGTCACATTTAATCATTAAATTAAATTATTAGTCAAAATAGAAGCTGGAAATTGCTATTTAGCTGAATTTATCATTATTGTCCAATTTTAATATAATTTGTATATATAAACAAAAAAAAACACTGTGACATTATATATTAACTTTTGCACTGTGTTCCCAAATCTCAAAAATGTGAGCACAAATTTCTTTTGAAATGGAGAATATTTTCAACAAATAGTGACTTAAATTTCTTTTTTTTTCTTTTTTTCTCATAAAACTAACGTATGACATCTAAAGACTTCATAAATAGTGCAAAAAGTTTTCTGGACCGCTTTTGTTGTTTTTGTTGTCATTTTTGATGCTCAACAGCTTTGCTCTGGTGATTCTTACCAGTATCTTTTGCGTTCCTTTAAAGTAAGGTCTCATGCAGGTTTGAAATGACGCGAGTGAGTATTTTCATTTTCTTTGTGAACCGCAGTATCCCAGCGCTCTCTGACCGTACCGTATGTGGGGAGAGATCTCTGATGTGGGTCAGTCCCTCCGAACCAGCTCGGCAACACTAAACTCTTCTCTTTTCTAAATCTGTCCTCCAGTCAAGGTTTAAAACACTAGAAACGGTCCCTGCTATAGGCCTATCCTGAAAAGATCTGGCTTCCATGTTGTCATGTTTATGGGGATCATCCATTTATTAGATACAGATGTTGGAGGTATGGGTGTGTTTTTGAAATAAGTCCGAGAAAGGGCTGTGATGACCCTCACCCAGAGCAGCTTGGGTTTTATAGACGTTTGGTTGTATTCGTCTGCTCAAATCATTTCATCAGGTCATTTTCTTTGCTTACTACTGTTTGTTATTAGTAGTACGCTTGGCCTTGTCCGCTCATCTGCCCAGAATATAGTACTGTTGTATTTTTGTTTTTATCTGAATTACATATTCGTGATCCACATATGTTGCTCTTATGCAGTATCTTTATGAAATGACAATGTTTTCTATGGAATCTGTGCAATAGAAACCCAACAGAGTTAATGCGATGAGGTGCTGATTTCTTCATCATAGCTGGAAAGCATTAATCAGCCTTTCAGAACCATTGTTTCTTACGACTGCTCGAAACAAAGACAAGGACACAGTATAGGCCAGTTCACAAACTACTTGCACCATCTTCAGCCTTGCCCTAGTTTAGTTTAAACACTTTTTTTTATACAATTAAGGCTTGTCTCTTTTTAAAGTGTGTCCTGTTCATCTACGCAGTCTCTAGACTAACAGAACATCTTCATTTATGACACCGTACAGTTTCACAGCTGTTAAATATCTCGACTTTATGCTAATGTTTATTTGTTGATCTGGTACCTCCCTGTTCTTAAAACAAGTTTCAAATTGGAACTGTTCATCCATCCTTTTATTATTTGTATAGAGTTCAGCTTGAAACTGCAATTTACTATTTAGCTAAACAACTATATAGGCCTTCACTTTATTTACAAAGAATGAATTTGGGTAAATTGGGGTACTTTTTTAATTAATTTCGCACGCGCGCACATAGTTGAATCTACTTTCTATTTTTAATACTTTCAACATACATGCTTATTCATTTCTCTACACTTTTGTTTAGCTAAACTGTAAAATAGCTGTTCTGCCCCCTGCAGTAATTATTTAGTGTTACAGCTGTTTTGGAAAGCCTCAAAGACCGTGAAGGCATGACCAAAGAGCATTGATGAAAATCTGCTTGCTTTATAGCGATAACATGACCTGAAAAAACACATTGAAAAAAATTTACTTTTTTTAATCGAGGTTAGTTTAAGTTTTGACTTAGATAAGTGATTTGGCCATACACCTTCAGAGAACGCTTCAAAAGGCTGTTGAATGACATTTTAGCAGTTGTGGTCTAAACTTGTGTTGTGGCTGCAGTTTTTACCAAGGTCACATGCAAGGTTTTCACCCTGATGGTGCGATGATTGCATTGTGCTTTAAGGGCGTGTGTGTGTGTGTGTGTGTTTGCTCGTTCAGGCTCAAGTGAGAACCTTCTGGAACCATAGGATTATTTTCATCTTTATCTGAAAATCAACTGATGCGTGTAAATCCCCAAGTAGAAAACACCAATCATTTGTATGACTACCTGAGACGGGACAACTATATAAAAATAAGGCCTATTTTTGTACTATATATGGTGCATTGTCATTTACATGTAATTTAAAGATTATTTTGCTGTTTTTTTTTTCTTTTTATTTAATTGATGTCAATATGCGAATTATAGATTATACAAAAAATAAAGATCTATGCAAACTTCAGCATTTTCCTTTGTGAACTCTTTGTTGTATTTCCTATAGGTCAGATCAAATCTCATAGTCCACAGCCATGCTGGAAGCTTTAATCATTTTTTTTTTAGGCTACATGTAAACTCGGGTTTCCTTGACAAAGGTGCATCACACCTTTTAAAGGTTTCTACTTGGAACTGTTTTGCTAAGAAAGGTGTAGCATCCTGTTGAGGTTGAGGTGTTGGGTGCATTGACCTCAAAAGGGAGATTTGACTACGCTATGTAAAAGATATGTTTGATTTGATTTGACCGGTCAGTGTCTCGACCAATTGTTTAAAATACTACAAAAATGAAACGAGAACACAAAAAATATTTTAGGCATGCCCTGTTTTGCAACAGAAGTGGACTTCCAGACGACTTCCCTTAGTTTGTACAATGTTACATCATTTGTGTTCTCCACAAAAACAGTGCTTATTGAGAAAAAAAAAAAAATCTATGAATCATCACTGTCAAAAAAAGAAAAACACAAAAAGTTATTGAACACGCATTGACCTTTTGTGACAATATACCCTACTGCAGGGCATGTTGTCACAATGCAACTAGTTAAATGGCCTGTTATAGGTGTTTACTGTTTAGTAACCATAAAACAAATGTGACCCTGGACCACAAAACCACTCATAAGTAGCACGGGTATATTTGTACCAATAGCCAACAATACATAAATTAAAGATCATGTTCCATGAGGATATTTTGTAAATTTCCTACCATAAATATATCAAAATTTTTTGATTAGTAATATGCATGGCTTTTTTTTTTTTCTTTTTCTTTTTTGGACCCTCAGATGCAAATAGTCATATCTCAGCCAAATATTGCCATATCCTAACAAACCATACATCTATGGAAAGCTTATCTATTCAGCTTTCAGATGATGTATAAATCTCAATTTCAAAAAATTGACCCTTATGACTGGTTTTGTGGTCCATGGTCACAAATAGTAATGGTAACACGCAAATAAACTATTGTGCTACTAATGTTTGTATACTTTGTCTCTAAATGTATCGGGCTTTAAGTATATATTTAAGAAACTATATATATATAGAGAGAGAGAGAGAGCACATACTATATGCATGCCATAAGCTTCTTAATTATTTTGTGAATTATTGCTTTTGTCTAGTTTCTTGTTTAACATGCTTTTAGTATTATTTGTAATATTTAGTAATATTAAATCAAATGTATTGTAATAAAATCATATTTGAATACAAATATGAGTGTATACGTAAATGCATAACAGACAGGGTTAATTACATTAATACAGTCAGTATCTCGGTGGTTGAGGTGGTGTTGTGCAGTCGCGGTTTAATCGTGTTCAATGCAGTGAGTCTACGTCTCGCCTGCCGGACTCTTCCTGGTTTGAGCTCTAGAGCCGCCGCTGTCATCGCAAGAGCTCGTCTGTCTCACTGTCTCCAGAGTTTACAGTTTCGACGCGCTCTTTCTTCTTGTCGTTTTATTATAATGGAGAATTACGTGCTCTTGTCGCCCTGACAGGTGCGTTTCTCTGCGCCAGCCACATCTGAGGTGAGAATTCACACAATTTCATGTCTCGAGACTATATATTCGGAGCTCTGGTGTTATATAGTCGGTCTATTTAAGGATGCCTGATTGTTTTTTTTTATTTAAGAATATAATTCATAATTATAAAATAATGCTGACATGTAGAAGAAACGCTCGGTGACGTCACGACGCCATCTCCTTAAGACAATAAACAACTCATTTATTAAGCGTTATGGAATTTGTTGTATTAATCTTTGAACATCTGGATGATTTTTTATTATTATTCAACGTATTTATCTATTTTGTTAAACGGAAATGTGACCGTATTAATTTCTGTAATGGGTCGATACAGTAGGTACACAAACAAAAACGGGCTGTGGAAAATAAATTTCACATGGAAATCAATATGAGTTACTTTTTGCTTAAAAAAAAAAAGTCTTTATATAAAGTTTTTTAACGTGTTTTATATATGTTTAAGTTTAGTTCTCATACTCTTTTTTTTTTGTTGTTTGTGTAATTTTAAAGTTTATATATATCTAATAAGAAGTAATTATATGTAGCTAATAGCTAGTTTAGTTCAAGTGGGCCTATAGTGGTTAACAACTGCAGAGATGGAAATAATAATTC